TTTGAAAATCAGCTCTAAAATAAAAATCCAGTAAAGCAGTCACATTGTTTTACAAAGCTCACTGTACTAAGGGCTATTTCGAATCTCGTGCACGCTACTCATTGTTGCATAAACCAGCGCCGCGCGGACAGTTTTGTGTTTAAATACTAACCACGAAATCCTTAAATTGAGTAATGTTACGTCTGAATGGCTCACATCAACATAAAATGAAATACATTTAATGTGATTTTATCTATACGATAGTTGTATTTTTTATGAGTATACCACTAAAATTGCAATCAAGCTGATAATCTTTCTAGATAATTCTAACCTTCACCTCTAAGGTTATAAAACACATAAATATCGTCATACATAAATTGTACTGCCGATGACTAAGATGTTATTTCATATTAAACAATGTACAAATGGTGGAAGATGTTTCCCAAGAAAGTACTTTCGTAATGGCTACAGTAAGCCAAAAGTTTTTCATGAAACTAAGCAACATACAATTGCCCAAAAAAATTGTTGACATACAAAAATATTTTTCAAATCTTCATTGACTACGCAATTCTGCAGTAAACTGCAGTAAACGTGTAAAAAGTTCAAAAATTGTTTTGTAACTTAGCCAACGCTTCTTGTAAAGAGTCTAATTGAAATTTTAAAATAATAGAAAATCTAGTTCAGTGTCGCAATAAATTTTACAAACGAATCCTGTTGAAAGCGAATTTACTACGCGCAGCCTATATCCACAAATGTCTCAGATACCTAGGTAGAATTTGTACTGGAATTACGCAAGAAATGTATCTATAATACCGACCTGACAAACATCCTACCTTAGAGTCTATAATAACAAAGTCAATTTGCCTGTCTTGCCGCAATCTTTCGAACATTTACATACTGCACAAGTTTAAATGGTTTACGAAACTGACAACTGCAATTACAAACTTAATTATAAATAAAGGTTTTATAGATCAGTCCTTTCAAATTATGATCCATATCGATTCACTTTTACTATGAATTCATTTATTTTTTATAATTTTTTTTATGCAACTTAGAATAGCAAACAAGCTACAAAGTGGTAACCGTCGCCTATAGACATGAGCAGTATAATGGACATAACAATATACAGAAGCTCTTATCTACTTCATTTATCCCATTGATTTATAATAATTAATTTTTATTATAATAAGTATATAAGACAATGTATATGTATAACTCTATTTAGACATAAAGCCAAATTATTTTCCAAACACATACAACGTACTCGTAGCCATATTTAAGATTAGGTTATTCGCTAGTTGCATCTTAGATTACGTATACATTATCGGTTCCTATCAGATGAAATTGTAAATAATCTCGAGACCCTTCAACAGAAAAAAAAAAACACGAATTAGACCATTCCTTAAACAAATACTATGAACTTTATTTTGCCTAGATGGTTGTATAAAGGAGTATACAACAGAATTACCAGAATCTCATTTCGGAACTAAATCGTAAGTAATATTTAGAATATAGACTTTCAATAAAAAATTGTTTACAATAATCCGTATTGTGAAAGTTCGTACAAATACATAAAATCCCATACAACTAAATAATTTAAAATAATCCCAAAATAGAAAGCAACTTAAATTCACTACTATTATTAAGAAATTACTACTGAAATCGATGTACACATAAGTTTCAAGGTTTTTGAGGATACTATAGTTACAACATAAATACCTATCTATATGAAGAAGTAAAGAGTTGACAGTGAAGAATTGACAAAGGATTACATCAGTAAACAATTCACGTAAACTGCGACTGCACACGAAAGATCGAACCAACGTCAACTGTACCGTCGCGCTATAGTTGGGTCATGTTGACCAACATAATTTCCTGGAAGATTGATATATAAGAAACCTTATATACACAGGACTCTCAACAATCGCTCTAAAAATAGAGAGTTAAATTAGGCGCTAATTTCCAACCATTTAGTTGACATTTTAAGTCAAATACACGACACGTTTAACCGTAGTTATTTATTAATTTTTTTTAAAAAATATAAAGTATAATAACAATTAATTTATTACTTATAGTATGTATTCGACTGCACTCATGCCTTGTTCTACTATATCTTTTTATATTTACAATATTCTGGACATGGGGGGGAAAGGGATTGTTAGTAATGGAGAGTGAGAATCCCATTGCTAGCTGTTGCTATGTTTACCCAGCCAGGTCGACCTCCTCGCGGTTCTCCCTGGAAACTATCATGGTTAATTCCTGATGAATTCATCATGATGGGCCAACTGGCCTGTTTTCATTCTCATCAATCACCCTTCAATGCTGCTCCGCCAGCGTATCCCGTTAGCGCAGGCGGGGTTACCATTCCATTTTCACCCATCAAAAAAAATATTTGGGACAATTTTGAATGCAGCTTTTGTTTGATCTTGTTTTTTTTTATTTGTTGAATCTTGGATTTTGCTTGCTCTATATCAATAAATACTCTATAAGAAATTTGTAGCGACCATTAAAATTTAATAGCAGGTGATTTCAAATCTATAGAGTAGTTATGCACCCGTTTATGTTTCTAGAGTCGGTATTTAATAGATTAATTCAATATTATAACGCGCAACCGACTGATAGTCGCCTAAGATAGCCATAGACTCACCATTTTCCACTTTGTACTGGCCTGCGGTACCTATTCAGTTAACAGTTATATTTTTTTATACAACTTAGAATGGCAAACAATCTGACAACCCACCTGATAGAACGTGGTAACCGTCGCATATAGACATGAGCAGTACCATGGACATAACAGAGTATACAGTTTCGCCCATGATACCCCATACGCATTGCCATTCTTGAGGACTCAGGTGTTATTCCTCTATACCCTGTAAATTCACTACCTTATCCCACCCTTCAAACCGAAACACAGCTATACAAACACAACTACTACAATAGAAACACGAATGGGATAGAGGTGCCCAAGCAAACGTAAAGTTTTGTACAAAGTCTCCCTCTGGTAAATATATTTAAAAAAATATATAATTACAAATTATTTATATTATATACATTTTTTTTAAATATCACACGAGTCTTTTAGCAAACCTAGTCTAGTGTAGTCTTTAAGAAAACGGTCATCAAACATACGCTATCGATATACTGGTGGATACAAGTGGATGACAAAATCAAGTCAGTTGACTCATTGTAACAAATTCATCAGGAATTAATCATAACGAGTTCCAAGACGTCATTCTAATAGGGTATATCGTATTAATAGTAACAGACATGACTGTTACCCCTTTCCCCCTAGTCTAATAGCAATGTGTTCGCTAATCTCATATCTTTTATGGAAGTTTTCAAGGTACTTAGCAAATTTTATATACAATTTTTTTTTATACAACTTAGAATGGCAAACAAGCTGACGGCCCACCTGATGGAAAGTGGTAACCGTCGCCTATAGACATGAGCAGTACCATGGACATAACAGAGTATACAGTTTCGCCCATGATACCCCATACGCATTGCCATTCTTTAGGACTCAGATGTTATTCCTCTGTACCCAGTAAATTCACGCCATATACCACCCTTCAAACCGAAACACAGCTACACAAACACAACTGCTTCACGGTTGAAACACGAATGGGACAGAGGTACCCAAGCAATCGACTTTTGTACAAAGTCTCCCTCTGGTAAATATAATTAATAAATATAATGATAATATGCGTGTTTCTATTATATCTTCTGTGCTTTCATTAGTTTATTACTTACAATTCACAATTTAATTATTATGTTCAATTTTTATTTCAATTAAAATTATATAATGATTGGTACGACTATTATAAATAGGCATTATTAGAACCGGTTTTAGTCTACAAAAGAACATGCCCATGTGTAAAATGGCAAGAGTTCAATACGACGGTAAATATCAAATCTAAACAACAATTTCAACGTGCTTTGTACTTTTCACCATGGCCTAGCGCAGTTATAAAGTTATAATACCTATCTAGTAGGTATACTTGACATTATAATTTCTTATAAAATTGGAGTAGACATTACAAAATACAAAATAAGTTTTTGTTTATTTGTGTGTGGACTGTTTTAATTATGCTATAACTTTGTTAGGTTTTTTCTAATTTCGAGTTTCGAGTCATGCGTTTTATTAAACTCTCAACTCTACTTTCAACCTCAATTATAACAAAAATCTAAATCTAAATAAATATAAACAAATATTGTGTTCTCACACAAATTCCAAAAAATAGTTCAAGAACCAAATAACTTATTTATTCGTATGTTTAGGATCTTTGTAAATTAGATAAAGTTCGGACATGCTAGTCCGTCCATTCATCCATCCAGATAGACTGATGACTGATATCTAAAAAATAGTGAAAAATAAAAAGATTCAACAAGCAGAAGATTGCATTCATTAAATTATATCGATGGGTGCCTATGATCAGGTATGGTAAAATTATGAGTCATTTTTGTAATGTAATTGGTAAAGCACTTAGTGCGTAGAGGCAAAAGCGTTAATTTGTTATGTTGATTGCTCGGCGAAATTTGCCTATATCTTTCTCCATCTCAAATAGTACCTATATATCAAATTTCGTAACGATTGTTTAAGCCGTTAAAGTATCAATAAATAACAAAGAAACTCAATATCACAATTATAATATTAATAATGATTAAAAACTATACTTCATTTTATATTTTATACAAAATACTCCAATAAAATCCGTTGTGTTAGGCGAATACACGATTTTATTTTATACTATTTACGAATAGAAGTGTACACAAACACTCATCAATTTAATGATAATTATTATCCAATACATTGTAAAACCATTGTCATTACCGTCAACTTAGTATTTACCGCACGAATAATTCTAGCCTAATCTCAATTTCCCTGATCCACCTAGATACCCACTACCCTACTGTAAACAGATCTGTTGCGAATTCGAGTCCAAGCCGAGCCTTCGCCATAGTGGGGTACAGTCAGCATTATATAAGTCGTTACAAACTAACTCAGTCACATATGCCCTGTGATCGCTACTGTTAACGGTGCTTTATACTCCCTATTTATATAATTAAAGTTTACTGTACTAAACGTTACATTGATTTTATTATAAAGTGCACTGTTTGTGATATTGTTCAGCAAAATGAGGGTTTACGTAAGTTATCCACAATAATAATAAGAATAACTTAAATTAAGTTATGAAATTATAATATTATAGGTAAAAGAACCATATAAATGCAGTTGTATATATAATTTATAATAATCTGTTATACATATTTTTATTTACTTGAATAAACATTAATATTTTAATTAATCAAAAATAGTGATTTTTAATAATTATAACTTTACTGCTATCCGTACAATATTGCAGATGATTTACTCATAATGACCAATATCTATACTTTTTAAATTAGATCTATTAATATCAGTTGTGAATAAAGTTTCGATGATTAATTAAATTTCCTATAAAAGGTCAAAAATAAACTGACAGTTTATTAGTTTAAATAAAAAAAAAACACTAATAACAAAATCCCTAAACATTTTCCTTATAAAATTGGTATTTTCCCATAAGTTACTAAAATACGAGTATGTACTTACTTGGATGGGAAATATTCATACAGGCTTCCATCTTGACATTTAATTCATCATCTTTTTTCCAATAGACTTCTTTACTAGCATTTTTAAAACATCATATTTTTTTTGAATGCAGGGTTGGGAAAGTTGTTATCTGTTGAGAAAAGCCCGCAAGAAACTCAACGATTACTCTTTTAAATCCTTGTTAACATTATGTGTATTTAATTATATTTAAACGTATTATGTCTATTGATAAAAATATAAAAATCAATCGCTGAGAACTTATTTTTTTAGTACACTCATGTTAGAGACAAAAATACTGCCCTTAGTCACTAATCTATGAATCTTGGAGTTGTTTATTATTTCTCTGTTGCAAAATATTATTCAAGTAATGTCGTGTAATTGCGTTTTCAGTTTTAAATCCTAAATTCACTTTACAGATGCTTCATAAAGTTATGTTAAGAAAAGCTCTATTTGTCTAAGCCGTTAGGTTTAAATTTGATGACAATTATTATGTACGTATTTAATTAAAACAGGTATATTAATTATGTTTAATTTTACGCAAACAACTTTTAATGATCAACATTTTCGTTACCTTTCTTTGAATTAGATTTTAGACGCCTTCAACATAAATCAAATAAGTAGTAGTCTATCGTAATACAAGTATATTAACATAAAATTTGTAATGCATGGATGCATGCATAAAAATGTAAGCAATTATAGAGGCACACTTTTCGGAAATAATCTTCGAAATTTTAATACAAATAATTATTAGCGAATCCTTCTAAAATGCATCTCTTTTGCTATCAATTAGTTTATAGTTCCACTGAAATAATATTGTAAAAAATAACTTGAAATTTTTTCCTATATCAAATTTTGTCACTATTTACTCAAAACTACAAAATTAATATAAATTATAAAAAAAAATATATAGGTATTGGTTTACATAGTTTTTCAAATGACAGTTTGCTTTATACTGCGCAAACAAAATGTTTCAAAACTGTTCTTCTTCACCAAAACATGAAAGTTCGTTAGAAATTTCGTGGTTAAACAAAACACGAACTTCAAGTTAACATCACGAAAAAATCATACTTCATACATAATCATCAGAAACGAGCACGAAGCTACTATATTGAGGTTGTTCTTTTGTTTAAAATACTGACTAAGCAAACATTTATTATAAAAAAATGCAAGTGAAGTATGTGAAATAAAATAAAATTTGCGTACAAAGATGGAATAAGTATTTATAGTATTTCAATAGTTACATTTAAAAACATTTTACAAATATTTATTATGTATTTGTACTTTATACAGTAACGTATACAGGAAAGTCATTATAAACATATAATGGTTATAAAATGTATATATTTTTAGTACTGGTCAGACTATAATAATCTTTTTTATTGTAATAAATTATTATTATTAATAATTTATAAATAATACAAAAAAATATGTCGATAAAAAAATTAATAGACAGGTTATAAGGTATATAGGTTCAGACATTTATTTACAGGAGTGTACCAGCCCTGCCCCCTTATTCATAAAAACTAAAACCTTCTACAAACCTATCTTAACTATTACACTAATTTGTTACTGTCTTTTAAATTGGGAATTCAATACAAAATAAAGTGACAAAACAATTTAATAACTAAAATACGAGTAAATTTATTATAGATTTAATGTTTTTACGAATAAGGGGGCTAATGTGTTAATTTTTAAGACTGTACATTTAATTGCGTAAAAATAAAAGTAAACAAATCATGTCATAATAGCCATAACACTATAAACTGTCAACTTTGCATACATGTCACGGACACAATTTCGATTTCGCGCCCCCTTGCATATCAAACGATACGGTGAACTCATAACACGTAACGGGTAAAAGTATTTTTCAACGCATTGTTTACAATAATGAATGCAGACTTTACGTGCCAACCAAAGTTTGGACAATGCAAACGACAAATAGTGTATCATTTCAATTTCTCTTCTGTCAATCTTGAATAGGTACTTAATATTTTGTAAATATCTTTCCTAAAGAAGTGAATGTTCCGCAAAAAATAGCCACTTAAATAAAGACATGGTTATTATGGTACGAAATAAAAGATAAACACATGAATTTTTGCAAATATAAATATCGAAATTGATGACAGATGAATTGAGAATCTTCTCATTATGGACATTGTTTAAAAATTCATGACTTAAACGTCATACAATTCTAAATTCAAAACTTATTAAATGAATAATTTTAATTATCAGGATTTTATTTGATATGGTTCAATTTTTTCTGTAAAAGTAAGTGTAAATAAAACTAATAGCAGGCAACGTTAAGCTGACATCCAAAAAACTCGATTCTCTACTGCTCTATGGACCCAAATAATTTTGCTCTGCATGCTGCAAAACTAGCCGCACAATTTGAATACAAACTTAAACATTTTGAATTAACGCCTACGATTAAAGGAATTGTAGTTTCTTTATAAAGTGATAAATTACAGTCAGTCTCCTAATTAGTAACAATAATAGTAATGGTATATAAAAATACTATAAAAACTAGGATGACAAAATTAGTCGATAAAGTAAAAAGAAAAATCATTTCTTTTATATTACCCAAATTTCTTTTACAGATTGCATTCCTTTTCATGACAGCGTCCGTTTTTGCCGAACCGAGTAAAGTCATTCAAAAACGGAGTGGTCTAGTCGGCCACTACGCGGCCAGCGCGCCTATCATAGGCCACGGGTACTCCGGCCTGGGATACGCAGGTCATCTTGCCTCTGGATACGCAGTCGGCCCGGGTCTTGCCCTTGGACACGGCGCAGCATTGGTTGGCCCCGGGGCTATAGTTGGTGCTAATGTACACACTACTGTAACAAAACATGTTGGAGTGCCTGTACCAGCCCCATACCCAGTTGCTGTGGACAGACCTGTCCCATACCCTGTTAAGGTATGTCTATTTCATTTTCATCATCATCATCATCATATCAGCCATTAACTGTTCACTGTTGAACATATGCCTCCCTCTTGAGGGGATTTGCCAGTAATTGCCACGCTTGGCAGGTGGATTGGTAAAACTTCAGGTAGACCATTATTTTTCATTCTCAATAGTAAAATTTCAAATCAAGTTGAACATTACATACCAATTTCTAAGAAGCTTTAGCTTATTTCATATACTTAATAAAATGTAAATGTAAAATTTTAAAAATTGTTTATCTATACATTGTAAAGAGTAGGCCCTAAATGAGAACCTTGTGGAACACCCGGTTTTTCTCGTAATTATGAAGTAAATTTAATGCCAATCTATGTCTACCATATAGTCTAAGTCTAATGAATAAAACTAGTCTAAAACCATAACCGCCTGCCAATTTAAAAAGAGCAAATCTATTTATATTGTAAACCTCAGTCAAATTCACAGAAAATAAAGTCAAATGTTTAAGTAGAGAAGAAAAAAAATACGATTATCTCAAAATAGAAATTAAAGTATTCAGTCCTTTATCCACCTCAGTCCAAAAACATATTTCGCAAATTTAAGATTACTCACTAGCTTTTACTAGCGATTTCGTCCATGTAACCAAGATATCTTCACTGATCAAGAATAAAAAGCACCCTGTCTCCTTCTCCATCACATATTAGTTATTTTTAGTACATTTATACTAAATTTAATAGTGATTGGAAAACTTACTTTCAGATTTATAAATATTAGTAAGAATATGAAATAAATACTCGATATTGTGGGTATTTCAGGTGGCTGTCCCCGTGCCAGTTGATCGCCCTTACGCTGTACCAGTACCTCGCCCATACCCTGTTGCTGTGGAGAAACACGTGGCTGTGCCAGTCGACAGGCCAGTACCAGTACCAGTTCCTCAGGCTGTACCTGTCCCAGTCATTAAACAAGTAAGTTATAATCAATCAATCCTTCTGGTGTTCTTAAGTAAATTTTCCACTATGCAAGTAAATTTTGTCCCACAAAAAACGATGACGTCAATTATAACCAAATTAATATAGAGTCTACATGGGTGTAAATTCTATCGAATGAAAAAAGAATTATGATCAAAAGCGATCGAGTAAAATACAAAAAAAAATTGAGAATCTCATTACTTTTTAAATCGTTTAAAATAGAAAACAGATCAGTAATTGAATACTATCGGTAATTCTCTCGAATAAATCTGAAACCTATTGAGATATGAAATCATTTCATGCAATTCTCACCTTATTATAATATTCTATACTATTTTTAGTACATTTAGTTTATACATACATATAGATTATACATTAGAAAGATACTGTAAACAGAATAATGCCCATGAGTAAATAATGACAAAATGTTAAATTTCACTATATGAACACTTCTTTAAAGCAAATTTTACTATTAATTTTTTGGTTGCAAATGTTTTAAACATTTCATCTGGCCTTCATTTTGTTACCCGTTCTAAATTATACATGAACAACTTACGGATTAATTACGTTGCTCTATAATTTCCAGGTCGGTGTGCCGGTGCCCCAGCCATACCCAGTCGCGGTGCCCAAGCCAGTAGCCGTTCCCGTGGCGCAACCTGTCCCCGTTCCCATCGTTAAGTCCTTAATCAGCCCAGCTATTGCCGCTCCCGTCATCCACGAAGGCCACGGACTTTCCTTGAACGGACTCGGACATGGGCTATCCGGGTATGGCTTATCCGGACATGGCAAAATCTGGTAAAAACAAAAGTAGATATCCCATTTGTTACAAGTCAATATTAAAACCCCATACATTGGATAATGAATTTTTAATGTATGACATTATTTGTGCCATTATTATTTTGTCGGCCTTTACTGAGTCACATTGTTGACTTCTGTCGATGAAAAATTGTCTAGTAACAAATGAATGGTATCTGAACGTAATGTAAAGGCATTTTCATAAAGATATACACAGTCAAAGGAACGTATCTTATGTGATCTAGAGTTAATTAGTTATAAAATGGTTAAGACCAAGAAGTTATAATTCTTCTCTATTATCGTGTAAGTCACGGGTATGTGCGATTTGGGAAGTGCAATCAATTATTGAGCCTTTTATATTTCACGGGCTGTATAGACCTTAGTAGTAGGCTTAAATATATAAAACTATTGTCAATTTATTGATATAGTTTTAACACAAAAGCTTTAATGATTAACAATGAGAACTTATATAAATAATAAACGAGCTCTTCAAAGAAAATTTATACGTTCTTAAAAATATATACTTTTGTATGTCATACATAATTTGTATATGAAAAAAAGTATTCTTATATTGTCTTTATTAATCTGATTTTTTGTCAAAATATTATCAGTTATACAGACGTGTATATACTATCTTTCTTTGCCTAATTTGCAGCTTCTTAATCTATTTTTTTATACTATATCTTTTAGGTACATTTGTTTTATAGGATTCCTCTGATTCGTGTTATACTTGCCTCAATGTAATAATTTTCTGTTAATATTTATATAATGACCATCACACAAAATGTCAGTATGTTCTGAAAAATATCCACTTGATCTCTTTCAAAATTTTGTGAGGAGAGAGAAATGTGTCAAGTATGCGTGTGCTTTTGTATATAGATTTTTCTATGTTTAGATATAGTAATCATGAATACGAGTTTATTTCGACCGCAGTCGACTAAAAACTATTTACGAACGACTTTTTATAATAAAATGTATGAAGAAATATATTGAATACTATTTTATTTCTTTTAACCATAACTATTCCCCTGTAATGAAGAAGATATATTTTTTTATTTATTACTGAAATGGCAAACAAGCTAAATTTATTAAGAACTGGGCAACAGCGTCCCTCTTTAGCAGCACCAAAGCTAACCTGCCTGCCAGGGGAGAAGGGATTTTTAGTAAAGGGGTCTAACAACCCCATTGCTAGCAATATACCATCTCAGGTCGACCTCCACGCAGTTCCCCCTGGAAACCATCGTGGTTAATTCTTGTAGAATTCATCACGATGGGCTAACTGATCTGCTTTCATTCTCACCTTATCATCTATCACTGGTGCCCCGCCAGCGTATAGCGATAGCGCAGACGGGGTTACCATTCCATTATCATCCATAAAAAATTCTGCCTGCCAAGCGCAGCGACTAATGACAAAACCCTTAAACTTATGAGGGAGGCCTATGTCCAGCAGTCCAGCAGTGGATAGTTAACGGCCGGTACAACACAAAACATAAAAACTATATAGATAGTATACAGGATACATAGACATTGATGATACATGGACAGTACAGAATATTTGTCATTCACTGCATCACTCATTCATTGTCTACTCCTGAAAACTAAGGTGTTATTATACATGCATCAAAGATAAACATGCAAAAATATGTTTTGCGTATTTTTATAAATATACACCCATTTAAAAAAACTATTCTATGCTATCTTTATAATGATATCTACTACTGCTGCTGTATCACTGGTGAACATAAGCCCCCTCTTTAGTGGATTTTTTGCCAGTAGTTGCTATGCTTGGCAGACAGATTTGCAACCGTAGTTAAGATATTAGAGCTGTTATAAGAGGGACGCTGCTGTCCATCCCTCGACCTCCCATAGCCCATCCTTCAACTTTGTTCACTTAGTCGCCTCTTACAACACCTACGGGATAGGAAAGGGTGGCCTATTTAATTATTCTAGTATAAAATTATACTTTATTAATATTAATTAATTAATTATCAAATTGTGGAACAATATTAATATATATATATATATATATATATTCAATCACAATATTATAACTATTATATATTTATAACTCTCCATAAGATAGTTACAAACATACTCGTACTGCGCCGATTTTGCTCACAGATTGGTTAACGTATAAAATCCTCAGTTAATGGTTAACAAAGTTTCAATAAAACTGATCATTATGTATTATTAAACAAAGAGAAAGAAAACTAGTTCCGAACAATCTCAAAACCAGTATCTGTTTAGTAAATTAATAATTAAATCTACAACAATAAATTGTAATACAGTGTGACTCACGATAGTTATTATTCAACAACGATGTTAACAATATTTAAAAATATATACGTGACTATAATTTATCATCAGAGCTTGTCAAACGTTTGTAGTCATGTCACATTCGCACCATAGAAAGTGGTCAGCCCACAAATGGTACAGGATCGGGTTGCATAACACTGCATCCGGACTCACTAACTGGATAGATGTACTGTACGCATAATTGTAACTATTACTACTTACACCTGTTTTATTATAAACTTTAAGTGCATTACATTACGTCTAAGTATACAATGTTTCTAAGAAATATTATTTCAACAGTAGGTTATTTCTTTAAAATCTTGTGTCATCCTTTTTGATACTGGCCATAAGAATTGTTATTTTTTTCTGTGGATTTCAAGATGGTTTTATCTTTTTTAGAAGCGTAGATTATAAAATAGTGCCTGTGACATTCTCTTTCTTCTGTTAAATGAAATAAAATGCAAATAGAATGATTTCACATGATTCAATTTTTATTATTACTTACAGTCCACTAATCTTAATTCGGTGTACTTACATACCTATCACTAACACAATTTGATTTTCCTAAATCTCAATTACAAAATATAATCTTGACCAAAATTTACCACATGTTAAAAAAAATTATTAGATTTACAATTCTAATATTGTGACTCAGGATTATGAACCAACTGAACCTTTTATGAAAGATAAATGTAGAATCAAATTTCTTATATACTTGTAAACAACCTATTGGAGCACAGGAGTGGTAATATGTCATAAAAAGTTTTAGCTGTCAAACAAAAATGATTCCTGTTTTTATATCAATATATCAAATAGATAGATGCACAATAAATCAACCTTAGTAGTCGTTAACCCTCGGTTGCACTAGTTGCCCTTTTAATGTAGTGTATATTAAAAACAAAAAACTATATAGAGAGTTCATGTAATAATTTACCGATGAGGACATACGTCTGCAGAGAAGAGTTCAATACTATGAATGTAATTATTATATCTTAGACATTATGTCTTAGATATAGCAGGAGAACAGAGACTGTTAAGTACACCTGAAATTCAACACGATGATTTCCAGAGGGACCAGGTGGAGGTCGACCTAACAGAGGTCTAACAATGATCAGCCTGCATTACTAACAATCCCTCCCCTCCCTCTCCTTTTGCTAGTAGTATATATTCTCTATTAGATCTCTATTAGTATTCTATTAGATCGACCTCCACGCGGTTCCCCCTGAAAAACACCTCTGTTAATTCTCGTAGAATTCATCATAAAGGGCTGTCTAAACTGCTTTTATCCTATCCTATGATATCACACTGATGCCCCACCAACGTATTTCTATTTCATAGGCAGGTTTACCATTCCATTTATACCCATAAAAAAAAATAAAAGAACTAAGAAACTAATAAATTAACAAGTCGCCGCCGCGGCGTGGGTATTCACCTATAGGTCTTCCTTGGTAGAGTTAGATTTATATTAAGTATACTATATCAATAGCGTTTCTTTCTATATAATGTTTTAATCTATGCTCATATTAATCTTTAATCTTTAATCTACGTGGATACTTATCGTCGTGCCTCCGATAAAACTGTTTATAATTATTCCTCTCCATCCAAAAGTTGCCTAGAAGAGATCGCTTTTAGCGATAAGGCCGCCCTTCTTTTCTCAATGTTTTCTCAATGTGAACATTTCTTGTAATTATTTGTATCTATTTATAATAAGTTTACTAATGTAATCTTTTGGAGAAAACCAAAAAGAGTATCTATCTACTTACTTTAACAAGTAGATATACTATTTACATACCTTCACTTCACTCGTTGTTTGAGTGTTACCGAAATTTTTTTACAGTACGTACTATATAAAGATTATCTATTACCCAACATAATGATTAACAACATTACGAAGATTATAAAATAGAATCATTACATTAGAAGCGTCATCAAAGGACGAACTTGCACAATGGAGCAGTTTGTTGCAACGTGACCAGCATCGAACGCGGAACAAACCTTGCTACACTTGTCATATTGCGTAAAGGGGATTGCGGAACATAGGGTCCAGAGAAGTACCTACTACTGTTCTAAAAGACCTATTAATGTAGATAATTTAAAAAGATATAGAAGAAGTAAAAATACTTTATAACTATCGGAAAATAATTAGCATATAACCATATTATTGAACATTTAAAAAAGTAGGAAGAAATTAAAGAATAAATAATATGGTTACCCCTTATTCATAAAAACGTCAAACGTCGCATAAATCTATTTTAGCTATTGAAGAAGAAGAGTTTTGTCTTTCTCTTTTGCATTGAATTCTAAATTTGAAAGAAGGTGACAAAACAATAGTTCAATAGTTTTTTAGTTTTTGTGAATGAAGGAGATTAGATAGATAGATCTTATCTATTTTTCGCATGAGATCCTATGTGTTACCCTAACGATATCCCGCGGTTTAAGATATCTGTAGTCCCCTGGTTCTGGATAAGCCGTTCCCAGTAGACTCATACGCATACTTGCCAACGAATCGCAGTTGCACATCAAGTGTTCCATGGATTCCGATTTCTCCCCGCACAGTCTGCACAGTGTGTCCGGAGATAGACCCATCTATCTAGATAGATAGATAGATACTCTTTATTGTTTCCTTTATTAGTGTTTGTAACTTGCACGAAAGTGTTTACAAATGTCTTCCAGATATAATTTTCGGTGCGTTTATGATGTATATACTTTTTTTTTTATATTCATATCGCTATTTAAATGTATAAAAAATATTCCGTAAAATATTACAAATATAATTTAATTTCTAAAAGAGACTATCCGTTTTATAATATTCAGAGCAAGCAGTTAAGTATTGACCAAAAGACATCCAAATGCTCTTCCTTTCTCAAAAAACTAAATAGAACAAAACTGAAGAAAAATTGTCACTAACCGATCAAACTTATGAGAAGCAATCTCTTTGGATTTTTTTACTACAGCTACAGATAATATCCCCTATCCCTGTGTTCGTGTCGTGTTGTGGTGTAACTGCTGTAGTTAGGAGGAAAGAGATTGTTAGTAATACCACAGATAATATAATACTATACTGTAATACGGAGTTACTATTGCTAGCAATATACCCTAGCAGCTCGATCTCTACGTAGTCCCCCCTAGAAACCATCGTGCTGAATTCCAGATATATTCATCACGATGGGCTAATTGACCTGCCTTTTAATGAAAAGGTGAGAATGCTCACCTATCATACCTCACTGGTGACCCAGCAGCGTATACTGTTAGCACAGGCGAGGTTACTATTACATTAATATCAATTAAAAAAAACTGCTGTAGTTTTATATAGTAAGCGGCCCTTGTCATCACTTAGAAGTTAACAAACGCCACCTATATGTTTCAATACTAACTAGCGACCGGCGGATACTGAAGCAAGTGTACATTACCTATTTGCCTGATAATAAAATAGTTGATAGCTTACCTTGCCAGTTGTCGATGTCGCTGACTGTACCTTTCAATTTTGTTTTCAAAAGTTATGACTTGGCCCACTTGTCTCTACCGACGCTTCCTCCTAAGGGAAAAGAGTGAATTTATTTTTCTGCTTGTCCATTGTGCGATTAGTAATAAAAAAAATAAGAGATAAATAGAATAAATATGCCACTTCTATGGATTAATTAACTCGAACAAAATAAAATCTATTGAAGTTCAATAGTAGTACAAATCAAAAATCGATGA